CACCATGGTTACTCCTCACACACTCACGTGTTACACTCTGGATTCACTATTGTTACTCCTCACACACTCACGTGTTACACTCTGGATTCACCATGGTTACGCCTCACACACTCACGTGTTACGCTCTGTATACTCCTTGGTTACTCCTCACACTTTTCTGCATTGCTCCTCACACACTCCTATGTGACTCTCCACTTACACTCGGGGGGGTGGGGGGCAGAGACATCTGCCGCGGCTCGTGCTAATGCCCCCATCTCTCTCTGTCTTTCAGGGTTTCCAAGGCAAGACGGGCCCCCCCGGCCCCCCGGGGGTGGTGGGACCTCAGGTAAGAAGCCGGGTGGTGGGGGGTGCCGGGGTGGGCTGGGAACGGCCGTGCCTCCAGGGTGCAGTTACTCGGCAGCTCCTCCTGGTGGTGGAAGAGGCAGGGGTCGAAGGGTCTGGCCCATTCCCTGAAGGTCTCACACCGTTTCTTGTCTCCCCCTGCACTAGGGCGCTTCTGGGGAGTCTGGTCAGATGGGGGAGAGAGGTCACCCAGGCCCCCCCGGACCCCCGGGAGAGCAGGGCTTGCCAGGACCCTCTGGGAAAGAAGGAACCAAGGTAAGGAGCTGTGATGCTCCAGTGCGGCGCTAGGGGGCGCTGTGCTGCAGGGAGCAGGGTGGGGGACCCACCTAATCCTCCTTCTCCTTCCCCCGGCGCAGGGAGACCCCGGCCCCCCGGGAGCCCTCGGAAAAGACGGCCCGGCTGGACTGCGCGGTTTCCCTGGTGAGCGTGGGCTGCCCGGCACCCCGGTGAGTACCCGCCCCCCCCCCACAATGCCCCTAGCCCGTCCCCTGTGCCAGCAGGCCCTGACCTGTGCTTCTCTCCCGCAGGGCGGCACGGGGCTGAAAGGGAACGAGGGGCCGGCCGGACCCCCAGGACCTGCAGTGAGTATGATGTGGGGACCCCCACGCCAGCCCCTCCCCCAACTCCTTCCCCCCAACTATTCCCCTAGGCCCCCCCCCCCCCCACTGTTCTCTGATCTCCCTTCCCTCACTCCCCCATCAGCCCCTCTCCTCCCTAACCTCCGACCTCTGACCCCCCTGATCCGCCCCCTCCCTCACACCTGATCCCGGTCCCCGCAATGTGTGTCGGGGGGACTCCACTGTGGGGGGCAGCAAGTGACTCCTCCTCTCTCTCCCCATAGGGCTCCCCCGGTGAGAGAGGCGGCCCTGGGCAGGGCGGCCCCATCGGACCCCCAGGCAGACCGGGCCCCCAAGGGCCACCAGGCCCTGCTGGAGAGAAAGGAGTTCCTGTGAGTAGGGGGCACAAAGGGGGGATCAGGGCTGAGTCGGATGCAGGGGGGGCTGGGAGCCAGGACTCCTGGGTTTTATCCCAGCTCTGGAAGGGGAGCAGGGTCTAGTGGTTAGAGCAGGGGGGGGCTGGGAGCCAGGACTCCTGGGTTCTATTCTGGCTCTGGGAGAGGAGTGGGGGCTGGTGGGTTAGAGCAGGGGGGGCTGGGAGCCAGGACTCCTGGGTTCTGTGCCCAGTGCTGGGAGGGGAGTGGGTTCAGGTGGGTTAGAATGGGGGGTGGGTGGGAGCCAGGACTCCTGTGTTCTGTGCACCTCACTCCCCTCTGTTTCTCCCTAGGGTGAAAAAGGTCCCATAGGCCCCGCTGGCCGCGACGGAGTCCAGGGTCCCGTTGGGCTGCCCGGCCCAGCGGGGCCCCCAGGGGGTGCTGGTGAGGACGGCGACAAGGTAAGGCCCCGTCTGTGTCTGTGTCCTGCCCCCCCACGCGGCGATGGGCTAAACCCCCTTTCTCCTCTGTCTGCAGGGCGAGGTGGGCGAGCCGGGCCAGAAGGGTGGCAAAGGCAACAAGGGAGAACACGTGAGTCTGAGCTGGGGGCTCCCCTGACCCCACACTGGGGCTGATCCCCCCCCCCCCCAATTCCTGCCTGGGGTATCTCTGTGTCTCAGCACCACTGACCCCCGTCTCCTTCCTTCCAGGGTCCCCCAGGCCCCCCAGGTCCCATGGGCTCAGTTGGGCAGCCTGGAGCAGCCGTAAGTACCTTGCCCCCCTCAGACAGCCTCCTGCAGCACAGGGCGGGGGGGCCCTGCGGCTGGTAGCACGGGGCGGTGCCAGTTCTGGGCAGGGCGGGACTACGGAGCTGGGTTGGCTCCATGCAGGGCGGGGGCGATGGAGCTGGTTGGCTCTGTGCAGGGCAAAGGGATGGAGCTGGGTCAGCCCCGTGCAGGGCCTGGGTGATGGAGCCGGGTCTGTTCCGTGCAGGGCCTGGGCGATGGAGCCGGGTCTGTTCCGTGCAGGGCCTGGGTGATGGAGCCGGGTCGGTTCCGGGCAAGGCCTGGGTGATGGAGCTGGGTCGGTTCTGTGCAGGGCCTGGGTGATGGAGCCAGATCAGCTCCATGTGGACGGGGTGGGGGACGTAGCTGAGGGTGATGGAGCCCGGTCTGCTCTGTGCCGGGCGGAGGGTCCCTGACTCCTGGCAGCGCAGTGTCCTGGCCCCTCACTCATGCCATGGGGCGAGGTTCCTGACGGCAAAGAGGCCCCACATCACACTGCTGGAGTGTGGGTGGGATTCCGGGGGGTCCCATCAATGGGGAATGGCGGTGGGGGGGGATTCCCGCTGCTCCCACAGCGCCGAGACCTCCCTTCACCCCCACCCCCACCCGCTCAGCGAGTCCTGTCTCCCCGGGGCCGCTCGGGGCCCGTCTCTGACTCTCTCTTGTGTCTGTGTCGAGGGGGCTGATGGGGAGCCGGGCGCTCGGGGCCCCCAGGGCCACTTTGGGGCGAAGGGCGATGAAGGAACCCGCGGATTCAACGGGCCGCCTGGCCCCATCGGGCTGCAGGTGAGTGGGGGGGACCTGTCATTGGCCTTGCAGGGTTGCCCCCTCTGCCCCACATTGAGCCACTCCAGTGCCCTGGCCCCACCCCTACACCTGGCCCCACCCCTGGCCCTGCCCCCATGCTCTATAGTCCCACCTGTCTCCGCCTTCCCCCTGGACCTGGACCCGACCCGAGCCCCCCTTCCTAGCCATGGCCCCAGCCCTAGCCACCCAATCCGGCCTGCCCCATGGTACAGTTCTAGCTGGGGACAGGATTCCCCTTCACTTCCTGTCCCAAACTGCTGGGCAGCATGACAGTGTGACCACTGGCCAGTTGTTGCTGGGTCCCACCCCCGAGCCAGCTGTTCTGGGAGGCGGGGGAAGCTATCCCTGTGTGCCCTCCTCCCCACCTATCTGGATCCAGATGTGCCCCTCTGTCTGGGTCCCCCCCCCCCCTCCCCCCTCCAGATGTGCCCCTTGCTCTGCTCCCCCCCCAGCTCCAGATGTGTCCCTCCCTCTGAGCCACCATCCCATCCTGAATCCAGATGTGTCCCTCCATCTCTGCCCATCCTCCAGATCCAGATGTGTCCTAGGTCTAGGACCCTCTTCATCCCAAATCCAGATGTGCTGCCTGCTTCCCCCATCTCCCTGGATCCAGATGTGCCCCTTGATCTGCCCCCTCCCCCCAGTCCAGATGTGCCCCGCACTGATGCTCTCTGTCTCTCCTTAGGGTCTGCCGGGCCCGGCGGGGGAGAAGGGCGAGACAGGTGACGTGGGCCCCATGGTAAGTGACACCGGCTGCCCCCATTCCCAGTCCCCCCTCCAGGTGGGAATGTCCCAGAGCCCCCCTCACCTTGTTCTTTTTCCCCACAGGGCCCCCCAGGACCACCAGGGCCGCGTGGCCCAGCCGGACCCTCCGGAGCTGACGTAAGTTCCTCCCCCGCCCCCCACCCCTCTCAGCCTTGACCCGGGCGTCCCCGGAGGTAACCAGCTCTGCTCTCTCCCCCTGCAGGGACCCCAAGGCGGCCCTGGAGGCATCGGCAACCTGGGCCCCCCTGGAGAGAAGGTAGGTGGAGGCAGGACGCCTGGGTTCTCTCCCAGCCCCGGGGGGGCAGGGTGGGGCTGGTAGATTTCATGGAGTTCAAGGCCAGAAAGGCCCATTCGCTCCAGCCTGGCCCCTGGACAGCAGCGGGCAGAGAATCGCTCCCTGTCACCCTGTGCCCAGCCCCGCGACCTGGCTGGGCCGACACGTGTCAGCGCCCGGGGGACCGAGCCTGGGGCCACGACAGCTGAGCCCAGGAGGGACCAAGGGGCCCCAAGGGCTGACACCCCTGCAATGGCAGGGACCTGATCCGCTGAGCCCAGCCAGTGACCCACATCCCGCGCTGCAGGGGAACGGGAAACCCCCCGAGGGCCGTGCCTGTCTGTCCTGGGGGAGATTCTTTCCCTGCCCCAATCTGGGGACCCCCAGCGTGTGAGCCAGACTCAGCAGCCAGACAGCGGTGTCTCTGGAGCCCGTCAGAGCACCGCCCCGCCCCCCCCGTGTGGTGCCCCATCTCCAGCTGATTGAGTCTCAGGGAGCAAATCCCTTCCTGACCCTGCCGCCCTGCAGCCTGAGACTGGATGAGTCACTGTCCTCGTGCAGAGCGTGCAGAGGACAGTGCAGGCGATCCTGTTCTCCTCGTGGCCCGTGAAGGGAGGGGACGGATGGGGGCACTCAGAGTCACAGACTGCAGGAGTCAAAGGGCCCCACCACCACTCGCCCAGAGGAATGTGGGGCTGGAGCAGGACTCCTGGGTTCTCTCCTGGCTCTGGGAGGGGAGCGGGGCCAGGACT